CAGGGCCTGATGGAGTCAGGTATGGTCACATGAAGGCTTTGAGCGATGTAGACCTGGCAGAGATGGCCGACTGTTTTAACCAGAGTATTAAGACAGCATCAGTACCGCAGGACTGGGTGCACAGCTATCTAATCCCACTACCAAAACCTTTTAAAGATCATTCTAAGCTTAGTGGCTTTAGAATCATCACCTTACAAAACACATTTGGGAAGGTCTTGGAGAAGATAGTTTCTGTAAAGCTACAAAAATTTTGGAAAAGTGGGAAGCTTCTCCCAAGAGGTCAGGGAAGCTACAGGCCAGGAAAAGACACTTGGGCAAATGCAGAACAGACAAGAAACTATGGCGGTAGGACTGGATCTCGAGGATGGTTATAACAGAGTAAGATACGACATCTTAATGACTGCACTGAGGGAGAAGGAGGTCAGTCAATGGCTGGTGAATTGGGTTGCAGCTGTCCTATATTCACGTCAGGTTGTTCTCCGACTGGGCTCATGGACCTCAGAACCATGCACTTTGGCCCCAGGACTGCCACAGGCATCAGCCATCTCGCCTGTGCTCTTTAACGTGTATACGAGCAAGATTGCAAGCCTAGTAGTAACAAGAGTTGAAAGGATACTAACTTTTGCGGATGATATACTTGCATATAGGCAGGGGGAAGAAAGGGAACAAACAGCACGGGAGCTACAAGCGACAGTAGACAAAGTGAATGAGTGGTGTACAGAAATTAGGGCTGTCGTCCACCCGTAAAAGGCGTCTGTTTCGTGGTGTTCTCTGGACAACAGAATCGTTAAAACTAATTTCCCATGTCTCACGATGGATGGTAGAAACAGTCAACAGAGAGAGCAAACTGAAGTATCTGGGAATTACATTTGACAGGAGCCTGTCATTTAAGGACCCTATGGAGTGTTGTGACGAGATGCCAAAAAGGACATAGTGCACTTACGACTATGGCTGCAATTGACATAGAGCAGAGAATGCTTTTCACACTATATCAGCACCTGATCGTGTCAGTGGTGGATTATGGCCTGGGACTGCTTACGGCCCCAAAGAGTCAGATGGACAAACTAGAGGCGCATACAGAACGTAGCTAGCTATGCGGGTCATTCTGAGTTGCACCAGAGACACCCCAGTGGTGTGTATGCGATACATCCTTGGTCTGCCGACTGTTGCAGGTAGGCACAAGGTGCTGCAGGTGAAGTCATATCTCAGGGTAGCTGCAGACACAGATCACCCTCTGCATAAAGCTCTGGGTGCAGTTAAGGGTCAGCGGCTGATAAGAGGGAGGTCATGGATGGCTCAGGCAGAAGACACAATCAGACAGGTTTGCATCCTTGAGAACATTAGGCGAGGAGAGGAGTGGGTCAAAGTGCCACCTGAACAGTCAGACTTGTAGAATCATAATCACGCTGAGCCGGGAATGCAGAGACTGGCCAGCAGGTGCCACAGAGGTGGAAATTCAGCAATTAATTCAAGATAATGCTCGCTCAGATGATTTGATCATTTACACAGACGGTTCAGTGTCAAGAGGCAAAAGAAGTGCTTGGGGCTTTTTAGCAAAAGTTAATGGTCGACGTTTGGTGCAGGAGAGCCTAGCATATGATACCACAACATCCAGCTTAAGAATGGAGGCGGAGGCGGTCACTGCAGCTTTCTGCTGGCTAGAGAACACGACACACACACACACATTGTGATTGTAACTGATTCAGAAAGCATGCTGAGGAAGATCAGAACAGGTATGCTTCAGGCAAAATGTGGCCTGCTTCGCTGCGGAGGACACAAGTGAGGAATATTGTCTGGATTTTTTCACCGGGTCACGCCGGTATGTTGGGAAATGAACAGGGGGACATACTGGCTGGCTCTGCGCAACTAGGTGGAATACTGTTACGTGATAAGGCAGACGTGGTTAGTGCCTTGTGGGAGAGCATGTACAATTCGGAGGAGCAGATGGATCACAATCTGGTGAGATTGATGCAGGGGGAAGTGACGAGAGGTTCTGGCAGATGCTCGAGGCTCAGAGGAAAGGCAAGACGGACGTTTAATCAGAATGCTACTGGCACCATTAGTATCGGAAAACTTCGCTGGCTGCTGAAGATGGGGACAGAGCGCTTATGGGAATGCCCTGAGCGCTGTGATGTCGGTTCTTGAATCAAATCAAAGCAAATCAAATAATTTGTTTTTGAATTACTTGTCAGATCCTCATACATTTCTCTACAGTATTTTTTCCATCTTTCGTCTTTGGTTTCCGTTAATGTGTTGACGTTTTTATCACTTATATAACAGGTAAAGAAGGCCTGAATTCTCCTTTCAATGTTTTAATTTCTTTAAACATGTCTCTGTCTCTTCCTTGCATCTGGAGTTGTTCACTTCTATAACAGGTATTCATAATAAATTGTTTTTTTATCTCACTCTGATAGCTCTTCTGATTTTTTTCGTGTAGTTCCTACATCCATGGCTATTTGTTTTTGTCCCTGCTTGCTTTAAATTTCTTTCTTTTATCAGCTTGAAAGTTTTTTTTCTGTAATGTAAATCTGTTTTTTTGTGTCGTTTTTTAGGAATCATGTTCTGAGCTGTTATGATGATGATGTTTCTTGTTTCATCAGCCAACTCATCAGATGTCATATCCTCCTGCACTGCCATTAGTGCCTCAAATTAGTTTTCAACCTCAATGCTGTAATCATTTGGCAAATTACTCAAATCCAAACGTATTGGCTTAGCCCCTTTCAACATTTTTTTGTTTTATTTCAAACTCTGCAACAAGAAGTTTGTGATCAGTGTCACAGTCATCTCCATGGAGTGTCTTTGCAGATGTTTTACATGTCCTCCATTTTTGTTGCATTAAAATATAATCAATTTGGTTCCTGTTATTTCCATCGGGTGAAGTCCAGGTGTAGAGCCTTCTTGGGTGTTGTTTAAATAGTGTGTTGGTAATAGACATATTCTTTTCTATACAGAATTTGATCAGTCTCTCCCCACTCTTGTTTCTGTCTCCTATGCCGAATAGGCCTCTGACTATTTCATCTTCCTCTATTCTACCTCCACCAATTTTTGCATTAAAATCCCCCTTGATGATTATGAAATCTCCTTTTTCTACCCTTTCTACCTCTTCTAAACTGTTATAAACATTTGTGAATGTCATCTTCCTCTGATGCAGATGTTGGGACAGAGGCTTGAATAATTGTGATGTTCCTTTTCCTTGACTTAAGTCTGACAGTTAGATTCTGTCGATGATCCAGTTATATCCAGGAAGGTGATGTAGAAACTGTTCTTGTCATCAGAAAACCAACCCGCTCAAACCACTCCAGTCCTTTTCTGAATGAACAAATGTATCTCCTGTTTGAGTCACAAAATGGCCTTGACCTGCCCATTTATCTTCAGAAATTTATATAATATCTGTTTTTTTTAATTTCAAGTTCTCTGCCAAAGATGCTAAGTTTTTCCCTGATACATGCTCCTGACATTCCATGTTCCTAACTTTAAAGTTTTTTTTAGAATGGTTGAAAGAGTTTTCTGTTGTAATACCGTCGGGCTTAAGGCCGTCATCACAACTACCCTTACTTGCTCTGCTATCGTTCTCTTTCCTAAAGATACAAAAGCTAAAAAATCACAAAACTATTTATCAGTGACAACAAAGAAGTAATATAACTCTAACTAAATTACAACAAAGGACTAGACTCACTAGACTTAAATTGTAAGTCAACATCGACTGACTGAATTGAGCCAGTAACAATTGCTTATATACTTCCATAAGGTCTTCCAGGCCTTCTAGAACATTCCAAATCTGTCGCAAAGAGTCTACACATCTTGACGTGTCTAGTGCAATCAAACGGTGTGATTGAGAAGACGCAGGATATTCTGTGGCGGCACCTTTATTTTCATACAGGGTCAAATAAAAACATATCACACAAAAAATCTAGATAATTTTAGCTTCTGATGTTTTTGTTTAGTTAGGCCAAATGTCTTAGTTAAATTAATTATGAAGCTTTTACAATGTGAAGAGGTCACGGCTCCCTGGGGCGCCGCTCCCTGGGGCACCATGGCGCACAGTTTGGGAATCACTGCCCTACAGAATCACTGGTATTTGGGCCTGCGCACAGTGTACCCCTCTGCAGGAGTAGGATTACTGCGTAAACACGACCAAATAATTTGTTGGTAGTAGGGTATATGGTGCTACCCAACTACCTTTTCAACTTGCCAGCCTAATTATAACTATAAGAAGCTAGTCTTATGCCCACAAGCAAACTAAATAAAAATGCAAATAATGCACTATTTTCTGTCTAGTAAAGTAGACCTTTCTAAATGTAGTGCTGACTGCATTTCCATGAATATTTTCTGGACAAATTAAGGGTCTCTTGGTGGCAACAGCAGATTTTACACACAGATTTTCACCCTTCAGAGAGCAGGGTACGATACTAACAGTTAAAAAAGGGGGAGGGGGGACACAGGGTCAGCTGCATGCGATAGTAAAGGATAAGACTTCTCATGAATTGGTTAAGAGATTATGCATGATAGTAAAGGATAAGACTTCTCATGAATTGGTTGAGAGATTATGCATGATAGTAAAGGATAAGACTTCTCATGAATTGGTTAAGAGATTATGCATGATAGTAAAGGATAAGACTTCTCATGAATTGGTTGAGAGATTATGCATCATTGAGAGATGAAAGGCAGAAACAAAAAAGTCTTGCATACCATAGTGACATTACATAGTTTAACAAACCATGATAGTATGCACGTGTGGTTTTTATGTCAGATATACAAGGCCACGAGTAAAGCACATTATTTCAGTGCTACAGAGTACAAGAAGAACAAAGTCACTCAAATGAAAATGTATGTGTGTGTGTGTGTGTGTGAGTGCATATCTGGCTATCAAATTTACAAACTATGCTATCTATATATTTCTCACACCATAATATGTAATGGTACCAACAAAGAAGATACTATTTATGTTTTGTTACTTTTTCTGAATGTTTACAACGGGTTTCTTTTATCTCTTCTCTTAGACATCCAAAGTGAATCTGAATAACATGCTGTGTCCAGCAGTATCAGATCCATTTCATGGTCCATTCTATCGGGTATTTGCCATTTGCCACCAGCTGATTCTCGTACTCACTCTTGGCAAAGTGTTTGTGATCATTGCGAGAGCTTTAAAGTTGCTGCCTTCCAATAATCAACCACACATGAACTTATGTGAACCTGAGAATTCATCGGCTTTGACCACAAATTGCAGGTCAGTTGTTAACAGTGAGAGTTCTCAACCTCAAAGTACTGGAGATTTTGTGGTAGATAGGTATGACAACTGTCCTGGTGCTGGCATGCTGAACTGTGCCTACAAAAATACCAAGTCTTGTTGCCACAGTGGTGGAGATTGTGTTTCATCCCATACAAATGACCATTCAGATGGAAACCACAGTACCGGCTATCTAGAGGTTAACTGTGGCTGCTGTAATACAGTGAATTACTCCAGTCAACATATTGTTAATGGACATCTAATGGACATACAGACTCATGAGCATTGTCGAAAACGAGTGCGGGACCTTTCCACCAATGAACAGCAGTGGCATTCAGAAACATCTTTGCTTACTAGTCAGTGCTGTAAACATAATAGCTTTCTGATATCACACGAATCACGTTCTGACCAGGAAAGTGGATCGCACACAAATGTATCTGATAAAGAAAAGTCTCCAAATGGTCATGCCAAATCTCACCACTGATGCTGTTTTTCACCCCTGTAGTCCCTTGAAGTGATGTATACATCTTTAACAATATTCCTGTGAATTAGTACTAGCAAAATGTATTTAGTGAATTCATTGAAGAAAAATTTGTTGAATTGTAAGCATTTTTCTCTTTGTCATTAAGCACCCTGTGATTTATTTTGGTAGTTTGATCATAGGTATATGATATGAATGCAAGAGGCAATTTTTTTTAATACTCACTCCAAATGGCATTCTGTTTCCTGTTCCAGACTGTTGTTGATTTAACTATTCTGAGCTATAACTTGTGTAACTTTAAAAATTTTCACTACTTAGGACAGAACAGTTTGTTTGTATACCAGTTTGACATTCGTTCATCTTTGTCGTCACATTTTTGAAGTTGTTGGCGACTTTAATATCCTCTAATTTTAACTTCCCAAAGTTAACACATCCTTCATATATCAGTTAATAAGTGTCTTTAAGTTTCCACTTTCAATTCAGAATAGAATATTTCTGAAATTAATAGTATCTTATGAACCCTGCCAATTTCTTTGTCACTATATCAAGTTGATGAAGTTTACACCTGTTGTCAGTTCATCAAATATTTATTACCACTTTTGCAAAGTATCTGTAAATATGGCAACTTTCATTTAAAGTTAACATAGAGGAATGCTTGAACTGTTGAGCTAGTATACATGTGCATTTAATCATAATGTGAAGTTTCACATTTCTTCTTTGATGTAAACTACTTAGTTTAAACTAATTTATTAGCAGTTCCCTTTTTCCTTGTTCTTAAGCTGTCATCAACACATTATTATATAATGCATTGTTTTGCATGACTAGCTAAAAACTTAAGATTTGTAAAGGCATTTATTAGCCTTCACTGTCTTGTCTATTGACAAGACAGTGAGTCTGTGTCACTTCTAGTCTGATCTACACCTCTTTGAAGGGGTAACCATGTCTGTATCTATGCTGCTGTTTTACGAGGATTAGGTAGAGACATGGTAGAAGAGGTTAGCAGTATAGTCAATTGTGTACTGGTTGTCTTTGTATATTTTATACCGCCAGTCTTACAGTAATGCTTAGACTGTTTAACCCTACCAGACCTGAGGCCCTGAGCCTAACTGTCCCTATAACCTGAGCTCCTGGGCATCAACACACACAAAAAAACCAACATGATGTACAAAAAATTTTAGTTACATGCAAACAAATGGTTAGAATAAGATAAAACTTGGAGACATTGTAGAAAATAGGTATACCTTTTATCTAGCGCCAGTATTCCACCTTTGTGTGCAAATCCACCTAGCAGGATCAGTCTTGTTTCACAAAGTGAGCACTAGATGTTTCTGTTTGAGGGACACCCCCCCCCCCCCTCCCCCACCCACCTTCTCTTACTATCGATCTAGTTTTAAATCTATAATTTTCATAATTCTCCTCCTCACTCTAGCCCTCACTGACTGTGTCACTTAAACTGGGAACGTATTCTTCATGAATGTATTCACAGTCTGAATTAACCAAAGTATCGATCACCTGTTGGACTGTGAAAAGCCTAGACCTACGTCACTTTCTTGTCGAAGCCGCTGGTTTCATTGAGAATTTTCCCAATTTTTTTCACAAACCACACAAAGCCTAGACCTACGTCACTTTCTTGTCGAAGCCGCTTGTTTCATTGAGAATTTTCCCAATTTTTTTCACAAACCACACAAAGAAATCTCAACACACGTGGGAAGTCCTTCACAATGACTAGCCACGAAGTCTGATGGTGATTGGTTGGTTATTTTTAGTCTGTGACGCATATTTTTCCCGTACAACGCAAATTCCATAAAAATCGGTCCAGCGGTATAGCATCAGGTTAGAAAATTCCCGCAAAATGGGGCCAGCGGTCTGGTAGGGTTAAACAGTTAGTGAAGTATTAGTAATTGGTGGAAAATCTATTGGCTGTTTAGTGTTGCAATATTTTATTACAGGCTGTGAAGTTAACAGTACTTACAACTTAATTTTTAAATGCTTACCTCTTCAAATATATTTAGCAGTTATGTAATTATTAAGATCTATTAGAGCAAGTATACCATCTGTAATGGTAACTTAAATTAGCTGTGCAATATTAATAGTTGCTGTATATTTTACACCAGCATATAAAAAGACCATATAGTGTTATGTACATGATGAGAAACATGTTTTAATAATGACTAATAAAACATTCCTTTTAGGATTTCCATATTGAAAAACTTTGGTCAAACAATAAAAACAATATGGGATACATGTGTGCAATATTTTACTATACCTCTGACCGCCAAGGCTGAAGAGACTTTGTCTTTTCACATTGAAAAGCTTGATTATTGGTACTGTGCTATACATTTGAAGAGGTGATTGTGGTACTCTTGATAGAATACAGATAAATGCTTTATGCGTCATCTATAAATCTATCAGTATCAATACTTTCTTTTGAAATGCACCCAGATTTAGAATCTCTTGAAGTTTGAGAGATATAACCTTTATGGAAGTTATAGAAAGAGAGCCAAAATCTCTCTAAAAGACAGTTAAATTGAAAGCTGGATATAAGTTCAGACCAGAGAATAAAAAAGAATATGTGCTTCAGTGTGTAAATGAAATCAAGGGCAGATACCATGTTCTGAAATGCAGAAAGGAAACACTTAAGTGTGAGACATTTGCTACCAAATGTTCCTCTGCAAGCACCTGACACCCATCCAGATCAGCAGAGGCAACAATAGTACCTTCCCAGTCATCTCAAGAAACCATTGACTGTTGTCCAGAAAAATGTAAATGTAAATACAGATAGATATGTTATTTAAACATCATGACTTGGAATGTATATTTTCTTACAAAACTGTTGAACATTATGACTTAGAATGTGCATATGCTTAGAATTCAGATATCAGTAAATTGTTTCTTCCACTAAGGCCATATTACAAACACTTCATATGAAACAAAAGTAGGAAAGCAACATTACCAATGATGAGATAGGCTAGACAAAAATAATATGAATGCACCATAATGGCACAGAATAGTGGATATTTAGAACTGATTGCAGCTAATATTCAGTGGGGAGATAGTGATTGATATTTTACTATGTTTGAGTTTCTTAGAGTCCTATCACCCACAAGCTGCACATATATATTAATGACTTTATTATATAACTGTGATGTCAACATATGTGTGTATATCGATGTTCTAGTCATGTGTTGCTACAAAAACAATACCTAAACCACCAGTTATCTAGCTTAGCTGCTGAATGGCATATTAACACAGAAATCTGACACAATGTACTTTGAAACAAAAAGAAACTAAATATTTATCAGTAATATACCCTTAGAGAGAAGATAGCTAGGCAACTTTTCTTGATACCACAATAGCTTTAAAATATCAAAGTTAAAATAAAAGCTACAAGAATAACAAGGAAAATAATTAGGTAGCAAAAATAAGGGTACTTAGAAATGTACACTAGCAAGTTATCACAAAACAAGTTCTTTGCAGAACATCATACATTGCCGCACATCTTGACATCAGTCAAGGTTGAGTACACCACATCATCCATGATGTGCTACAAAGTACCTGCAAGGAGGATTTTAGGAGCATCACATCCACATCTTTGCTAAGAGTGCAAGAATTTGGAGTAAAGATCAGCACAGCCAGGCACAAAGCACAGCCAGGCACAAGAAGTCTTGTCAACCAACATAAGACTGGGACTATCAACCGTGGGACGTTGATGTATATGTTGAAGGGGGAATCATGTCAGGAGTGCTGTGAAGATAACCCAAAACCAAAATCATAACCAACTGATAACCTGCAAGGTAGGTGTCATAGCAGCTTATACAAGAATTAAAACAACGATGCGTTGAAGCAGAAAGTGATGGTTTTCAATCAAAAATTGTTACTGGAGATGAAATGTGGGTTAAAAAAAAAAAGAGGAATATCTTTGCAGAGCCACACTGGAAATAATTTTTTTTTAATATTGAAAAAAGATTCCACCAACCAGGTAATTGGACTTGAGTTTAGGAAACAAAAGCTTTACTGATACCATCTTTTCACTGCTATAGGTAGTAGAGAAAACAATAGAATATGATTATATGCTATATCTTGCATAGATAGATCAAGAAAAAGCCTTTGATTGAGTTGACCATCAACTACTTTGGAAAACACTAAGGCTTATGGAGTTGGCCAGTATCTAATAAACAACTACAGAGGAAAATCACTTCTGTGCACTGTTGGAAAAGTACTTGCCAGAATTGTTCTGCGAAGACTCCAGATCCTAGGAGACCACGTTTACCCAAAGTCACACTTTAGCTTTCGTGGGAATACCCAGAGTCACACTTTGGCTTTCGTGGAAACTGGTCTACTATTGATATGATATTCTCATTAGGACAGTTACAAGAAAAAGGCCATGAACAAAACCAACCGCTGTTTACTGCTTTTATTGATCTTACCAAGGCATTTTATGTGGATAGTCGTAAAGGTCTATTCAGCTGACACAAGAAGAGTGTGTGTCCACCTACCCTACCAAGCATTATTGAGATTTTCCACACAAATGTTAAGGGTACAATCAACTTTGATGGTGTAACATTGGAGGAGAGTTTATAATTAACAAGGGAGTGAAGCAGGGATGTGTACTTGTTCTGATCCTTTTTGGAATATACTTCTCACATAATTAACAAGGGAGTGAAGCTGTGTACTTGTTCCGACCCTTTTTGGAATATACTTATCACGTAATTAACAAGGGAGTGAAGCAGGGATGTGTACTTGTCCTGATCCTTTTTGGAATATACTTCTCCTGTAATTAACAAGGGAGTGAAGCAGGGATGTGTACTTGTTCTGATCCTTTTTGGAATATACTTCTCACATAATTAACAAGGGAGTGAAGCTGTGTACTTGTTCCGACCCTTTTTGGAATATACTTCTCACTGTAATTAACAAGGGAGTGAAGCAGGGATGTGTACTTGTTTCAACTCTTTTTGGTATATGCAGGGAATGCAGCAGGGATGTGTACTTGCTCTTACACTCTT